CAAGAGTGTCCCACAAGAGTTTCCTACAAGAGTGTCCCACAAGAGTGCCCCACAAGAGTGTCCCACAAGAGTGTCCTACAAGAGTGTCATTTGTAGCTTTTCGAAGGTGTCTGCATTCGGGTTCGTGGGCTCCATCTTGTTTCCTTCAGCCGCTTGCCGCTGTCACGTTGCTGCAGTCACGCGTCAACATTGTTGAACATTTCGGTTGAGCTGATCTTACGCCATTCCGTTCCCTCACCTTTTCGACGTGGAACAGAGTTAACTGAAAACCCTATGACTAAGTGTGACGACCGATAAATTTTCTGCTATGCCCATGCCAGAGCATGTTCCCCGAGTAGGACAAGAGACATGGCAAATCTTTTCACCAAATCCTGGAGGGGCACCAAAAAGGCCGTGGCACGCAGACCCGAAATCTCCCGAAACACACCATGCCAGAATTCACCAAGTTTCACTGCCCACGCGTGCTGGGCTGAAGCGGATCCATCTGTCCAGTCCCAGCCGTTCACCCGCCGCAATGGTCACAGTGTGCTCCACGTCACGCCCATTCACCGGATAAAGCGGAAGCCCTCGCTTGCAGCCTCGGCCATGACATACATCGGTTCATTCGAAAGGCCCGATGTTTCTGAAAGAGTGAGAGAGGTTGAAAGGTAAAGAGGTGGAGGAGGAATCAGCCAATCACTCCTCTGAGGGGAGAACCCAAGCAACGGGTATTTACTGCGGTCTTATCAAGGCAAGGGTTTGTTCGGGGGTTTTGTTCGGGGGTCCCTTCCTCATGGCACGACACATAAGATCCAAAGCCGCCTTTGTTCAGTGGGAATGATCTTGCAGATCAACCCATCACTGTCAAGATCTCTAACCACAGTCAACTCCCTCCTAACGCAGGTATGGGCCAGCATCAGGCGCGCTTAAAACCCACCATTCACATGGGGATTCTTTATGACGGAGATGCTCTTTGATGGGCCTTTTGATAATTTGGTTCAAAGAGTTCTGTCGCAACTCTTGGCCGCTTTGGATGGTCAGCACGATGTAAGAGGCCTGGTCCAGCTGCCGAAGCTCCTGCAGGTTGGGTCGGTTCAAAAACCAATGGGCCGCCCTCTGAGCCGAGTCCAAGAGAAGTTGGAAGTGGATCCCGGACCATTGGGCGAAGTCTTCCTCGGGCAGGCTGAAAATCCCAATCCTTGCAGAGCAAACACGAGAGTCACTGGAAATAGATGAATCATATGGGATGATGCCTGTCCTCTGGGGGTCAAAATAAAACACTAATATTCATAAATATGTAAATAAGAAAAGCAAACAAATTTTCTTGTGGTCGATTCTTTCAAGTGTGTATCGTTTCTGGGTGCCCAGTGAATCGCAAGCGTATTGACATCTTTGACCCACAACCTCTAGGTCCTAGAGAATCGCATTGGTGTCAAAATTATATGATCCGGAAGAAGCTCCTGAGAGCAAAAACAACAACATCCTTGGCATACCTCAGAATCAAGTCAAACTTGTTGTCTGCGTCCACAAGATTGGGAGAGCACAGCAAGAATCCTCAGCCAACGGCGCTGGCTCCCTTGAGGCCCAGGATCCAAATGACAAGTACAGTCTACGAGACTACGCATGGAAACCATCCTGTCCGACCTGTCCCAACATCCTTAGCCAAATACGTCCAACACATGCAAAACACGTACAAAAGAAGTCTATCCAGCCTTGTTTGAGACTTGACAGCACGCCAGGAATCCTTGATGGATCTCACACAGAAACAGTCTATATTAGCTAGCTTAAGGGAGCAGCAGGACAGTTTGAATACTGGAACAGGTGCCATTGCGACTTAGACTCCAGCTTGGGTATCGTCATTGCCTTCATTGAAGAAAGCCTCACAAACGGGGGAGAAACGCCATCTGACAGGCTGCGGTCATGTTCGCTCTCTTGTTTCGGGCGAGCGTATCCAATTGGCTGGTCATCCTGAGTGGGATTTTGATGGATTCCTTGGGTTCCTTGTTGCCGAGCCAAGGGCATCTATGATGATAATTACTTCCAGGAAGACTCCTACGGTTTCATCTCTGGGACTCTGGGTGGGAAATTAGCCGAGAGGCATAGGCCGAATCTCCAGGAGCTGGGTAGTCACGGCGCATCTTCTGATGTGTCACCACCGGTATGCCGCCAATACCATCGTTGAAGTACATGCTGAAGAGGATGCTGGCAACCAAAGTTGCAACCATGACATCCAGGTGTGCTTGCGGTAACTTGTGGCCCCGATGTGCTGAACGTGGGCAGTTTAATTTGATGAGAGTCAAATTCAAGCTACATGTTCACACAACTGCCAACACAGATCAACATAGTGTGTTTCACAGACATACCGCTCGGGACTCACGTGCTGTGCACTGAGGCAGATTCTAGATTGTGGTTTGATGGAGATAATGTGTAGCTCGAAAGCAGTTTGAAGATATGTAAGGTTCGGGTTCATGTTGCCACGGAGATGTTGCCACTCATCATCTGGGTCGGGGAGAGTGGGGGGGCAATCAAGGATCTTTACCCTCATTTCAATGCTTCAGCGGGCAGGCAAAGCCACGAACCTCTCTTGAAAGCCCTTTCCAAACCTACCTCTGTCGAGTCTGTCGAGACCCATCTCTTTCAAGAATCCTTTCAAGGCCTGCCTCTTTCCAAACCCACCTCTTTCGAGACCTGCCTCTTTGGTGAACCACCCCTTTCACCCCTTTGAGACCCTTGACAACCCACCTCTTTCGATAAAAGCTCGCCATGCGGACATGAATCAGACAGCACCAAATACGCTATCCGACATTCGCTGAGTAGCAAGGAACACGCACACGCACACGCAGGCCAGCAGAAACCAGAGAACAGACAGGGAAACCTCATGAAGCCTCTCTCCTGCAGAGCCAGGTGTTGACTTCAGAAGTAAATGTGAAGCTAAGCTAAGCAGTACCAGGCAAACAACCGTTTCTAGAACTTTTTTGGTTTGGATATGAAACGCTATGAACCGCTTCTAAGGGTGCACCCTTCAAGACCAAACCTCGACATCCAACATGACTTTGTTCAACTACACTGCGGACAGGCGATGTTGACCAACCCACGTGATACGATGTTGACGCAAAGGATGCCAACATCGCGTGAATGCTCCAGGCCACACAGTGCTGGAAGCAACAAGCTTGGTTGCAAACCATGTTTTTGTCTTCATCAACCATGAGGGCCATGACTGGTTGGCAGCGGTGGTAGGAAAGGGCAAGTGTCCTTTCTTGACCGGGAAGGACCGACTGTCGGGCATGCAATCGTTCAATTCCGCCTGCAGTGCCGGAGCATGCCCCAAGGCTCGCTGCGTCGCACAACTGCTTCACCTGGGGCTTGGTGTTCCAGCAGGCCACCCTCAAAGATGGCACAAGTCTCCGGGCGCACCATCCTGTAGCAGAGCATCTCTCACATGGCCAGAAGCAAAGGGTGAAAGAACTAAAGATAGTAAAACTGCTGCCTGCAATCTACTTCAAAGATCCTCTAAGCACCCCAAAACCGTCCCAAAAATACCTCAAACGTCGCCGCGGAGCACATAGCTCTTGTTCACTGGTGGATCTTCTACGGCGATGCCCGAGACGGTGACACGAATCAGCTTTCCACCCCAAGGGCAATGGCAGTGGGAGAGGCTGGCCTCCAGAAAAGCCCACAGCTCTTGGCTCAACAGGAATTGAATAAGCGCAGTCAGAAAGCAACGCGTGCGAATGACCTGACAGGACCTAGCATGGCCTCTTTGCGCATTCCGCATTCTTCCCGCGCCTGGGGCCTGGTCACTTCCACCTCCCATCCTGCATCCGAGAGGAGCTGTGGCAATGCCTCAAACCAGGACTCTACCGCGCTTGGCTTGGCCATGGGCAAGTTGCGTCAGGCGCCTCGGTTCGTCTGGGGTCGCCTTGGGTCGTCTTGCCACGATCCAATGGCTGCGGATGGAGCCCCTCTGGCACCCGAGAATCATGGCACACAGTTGTTTCAGCATTGGGGATTGGGGATGCCCAACACGTTTAACTGTGCTAGAGGTTAGATTCATTACAGGCTCATGGCCTATATTTGGAGTTCAACACGTTCAACGGAGTTTTTGACCTGAGAAACAAATAGGGCTGCCGTCAGTTCTGCTCACTATATACCTGTGCCTGTGCCTCAAATCAAGGAAACAAGGTTTGCTTGTTGATGCTGTTTGGCATATTTGGGGCGAACAAAATGCAAGTATCCCTTTGCAAAGAATGCTCATCCTCAGGTCAACTATCGTAGCAGAGCTAGTGGATATATTATCCTTAAACCTGCAACCAAGCCACATTGTACGAATGGTGATGTAAATGGAGATCAGAATCAAAGCACCCTACACTTTTTCCGTAGAAAAAATAAACTTTCTTTGAAGACGAGACCCCACCCAAAGATATTGGAGGAGAGACGCTAAAGTGGGACTAGTTCTACTCAGAAACTTTGTCCTAAAGATCCAACAAAACTTGTCCTTATTGGAGCTACTAGTAGCGTCATTGCTCCTAGTAGCGATGCCCCTTGTTCCTAGTAGCTTCTTGTTACTAGTAGCAATGCCAGGAGCTACTAGCTGCCTGACTGCATGCCCGTTTAGTCGCAGATTCCAATGAGGCCAATGATCGCTGCGACGAAGTGTCAACTAAAACTGACAGTTCAGCTGCCTGGGCTTGCCATGGGTTGGCAGGCCAGTGATCCTCGTCCTGGCCAGTGGGTTGGGCGGACGTTTGTAGAGGAGGGTTGAAGCCCGCTGCAGGGTCAATTGAGTAGTCTTCGACATTCATTGTTGCGTTCTTTCCTTCTTGCCTTTGATCAAACCTGGAGTAAATATCAAACATCAGACAAAACCAATTAGAGTAGCAAATGTTAACAAAAAACAAAGAAAAATCTTTGGAAACAAAAAACAGTGCACATGATTGACTGGAGACGAAACGCGGCCATCTCATCGAGTACTGGGAGACGTGGCCCGGCGGGCCCCGGTGCCCAGAAGGTCCTCACTTAACCTTGACGTTTCAAATCATGTAATCTCATTCACCCACTGAGGGAGGCTCCCTAGGGTATTAAATATCTGGTAAAAGCTAATCAAAATGGATAAGTGTCACGCTTTCAAAACGGTTTTCTATGTGTAGTGGATGGAGCGCATGCCCCTGCAGGCTGGTGGCTGGTGGTCGATGTTTTCGTGTCGAGGTATAAGTATAAGTCCTAAGAGTCATATCTGCGAAAGGCAAAAATATGCAAAAATGAATCAGATCATGCTTGCAGGCGATTAGGCTTGCCAGCATGAGGCTGTGTGCCAAACTCATGACCCAAACGCTGAGACCGGAGACAGAAGGGATTGGACTCCTTGGACCGATGCAAGAATGTCTTTCAGTGAGAGCTTGGCACCTTAAAGCCACTGATTCTCGATTCCTGATCTCTCACCCTCATTTCAGAGGGCAGAGAGATGGGCACTTCGGCCAGAATCAGCCCACCAAGCTGGCTTGTGCAAACCCTTTGCAGTGTGAAGTTTGATTGATTTACAGTAGTGAGTCCCCTGTGAAACAATGAGTGAAGCTAGTTTTGACAATCCCTTGTTGCTCGGAGCAGTCTCTCTTGCATGTACCAGAAATGCAATCCCATGTTGAGGGCATGTTTGGGTTTGGGAGCACAGCAGCTTCGTAGGTCACGGCTACCAATTGTGCAAATTAATGTTGGCTCCCCGAGGGTCTTCTCATTGATGGAAAAATGCAATCAATTTTATAATTGTGTCTGTCATCGTTTGATGTTCTCCATCTATCCTTGAGCAAGAAGTCAACCAAAGTCAGACTTTGTGACATCACGACAGGCAAGCAGCCAATTGCTGCCAGATCTGGCATTTTTTAGAGCACCCACGGCTGCTAAAATTTAAAACATACGGGATGCCGGACTGGATGCACCCCTACAAACAAAATCTGAGTCGGGTCTTCTCTGTTTTCAGTGGACAGAAAGACAGAAAGCCACTGGATCAGCCTGTTTTTTAATGATACGGCGACCACCGAGATCTACACCAGGAGATTCTGGTTCAGCTCCGTTAGATTCTTGCTCAGCTCGACCAGGTTGGTCATGTTCGTCAGATCAGTCAGGCCATCCTGCTGAATGAGAAATGACATCAATCCTGCTGATCCACTTCAAAAAAGAGGAGACAAAGAGACTGAACAAACGTGTGTTGCTTTGTTTAACAGCTCCACCACAACGATCATCGGTGACGGCATGGTTACATGGTTACATGGTCCATGGGTCTGTGTTGGTGCCACGCTTGAATCTGCATAGATGGACCACACCTCCAGACGCCGATTGGTGGCAGATGCTCGAGTAAAAACATTGTCCTCAGTTGGTCAACCAAACTCGCTGAAAGGAGTTGGACCATACACACATGTATTAGGATATCGTCGTGGACACTTGCAGCTAAAGTCAATTATGTGCAAATAATTGCACCTCTTGCATTGGTGGGTCGCAGATCCTGTTGTATGCAAGAGCACGGACAAGGTGAGATGATAATATTTGTACGATCAAAGAGGCCGGGGATCTGTGGTACTGTGCTGGTTCGAAGGGAGAATCTGCCAAGGGACAACATCCAACAACAATATGGCAATTCAAATCAGCTGGAAATATAAAAATTGCAAAGAACCCTGGTTTGTTAGAGAAGACTTGTCGTCTGAAGGGTCCTATTGTCTATTGCACTTCAGTGGTTGGAAATACTAGTGTTGAAGGAGGAAAAAGACTGGACCACGATAGATGTGGTCGCTCAATCAAGTGAAGGAGTTTTTCGATGCCTGGATTCTCTGGTGACCTAGCATCCAAATTCTGGGAGTGGTTCACTCCGTGCACTTGGTGCGCACAAATCATCAACCCCTTCCTGAAACTGCCCATGTGCGTGCCCTTTCGCCCAGCTTCGTAAGAGCTGTGGCAAGCATCCGAAACCATTGACTGAGCGAACAGGCACAATTCACTGCCGAAGAGAATGGGATCTGGTGGGTTTGGGCCCATCAAGGTGCCTTGACTGCCGGGTATGTTTGATAATATTTCTGTGTGCATGTTGTTTATAGTACGATATCAATATCTGTATGATTCTGTATGTATATATACACATGTATATGACTGTAAATGTGTCTTGTGATTTTCTCTGTCAAACTTTGGCGTTCGTATAGTTGTTTGGGGAATTCATTCGTGAAGGTCGGTTGTCATTGCCCCGTGCCGCCTCAAGGAGGCTCCTTTGGATATGAGCCTCTTATGGAGGACAACCGTCGGAGAACAAGGGGCCCCTGGGAAGTGATCAGATCGACCCAAACAAGTTGGAAATGGCACCGAATCATGAGGCTCACATTTATTCCAGAGGTGAAACGAGGCCAACGGGGGATTTGTGAAATTTTGGTGGCAACAGCCGACATGAAGCACTGACTTGGATAGATGCTAAGGGAGCTTGCATCCCAAAAAGTAATATTCATGGTAAATGGTCCTTTTTCAGTTTTGTTGATCCAGCCTACCCCGAAGAACCAAGGTAAAAATTGATGTGTTGACCAAGGGAACAGAAAACTCATCGCGCGCGTGAAGAACCTTTCAATCATAGGCCTCTTCAACGTGATCGTCCCTCTACAAAAGGCAGGGGCACGCCTCCTCAGACAGACCCACCGTATTTGTCTTGTAACGATTCGGCTTCTGGCAATTGCAAGATGACTCAGGTCTGCAGACTTCTCTCATCGATCGTGTCTGTCGCTCAAACTTTTGTGAGCTGTCTGACCCTTGGGATCTTGGCAACTTTGATCTTAGAGTGTTTGGCAAGTTTGATGTTCCCACTTCACTCCGCGTTTTGGAGTTGCTAAAGACCACCTTCAAAACCACTCTTTTCAAAACCGCCGTGGCTTTACGATCTTTGCGATAAGTTTTTGGGAGGGGGCAGGGCAGAACAAACAACATACGTCTAATCTTTTGGGCTGCATCGTTTTTAAAGGAACTATCATCAAGTTCAAAAGGACAGCTTCGGAAGGGCCAATCTTCTTTGTGCCCTTTCAAACATCTGACAGCGCGCAGGCGTTTGGCTCAGGATACGGTTTGCCTGGAAACCAAGGCCTTTTGAACTGCTGGGACCTGATTTTGCTGTGCGCTTCAAGTGGTCAGCAAATCCTCTTTCAACTTGATCTTAATGGCAAGTTTGTGAAATATTACAACAGATGTTTCCGTTTGAGGTCCGTACCTCTACCACTGTCAATGTATGTCAATGTTGACGCTCCGTCCAACTTCCATCATGATCACAAAAACTAGACCATTACAGCAGCTCGCGCTCGTTTTTTGGATCGAGGTGTTGAAGAGATGGTGGGCTCCACGCGGCTGTGAGCTGTCTTTGTAGGACGTTCTTTCGGAGGGCGTTCATGATGGTTCGGGTATGGTTTCGGCTTCTGCCGAGGTTGACAAACTGGTTTGTGGTTGCAAGTAGTCTTCATTCAACCAAGTATCGCCCTGCGAAAACCGATATTCCAGGCAACGAACAACTGGGCCGGGGCGGCACCAGACTCGCACGCCAGCACAGCGCGCGAAGCGGCCATGAAAGGCCCAACGCCCACCACGGATGTGAGTGGCAAGCCACCTAGGCTTTCGCCACATCGGATCGGCTTTGCGCTGCTCTTCTGCTGCTGATGTCAGAAACCTTGAGCAAGGTTCAATCCTTCTTCTGTCGGTCGCCACCAAGGGTACTGCTCACAGCTCACAGGGGAAGTCCGGGCTCCTGCTGCCCATTGCACTCTGAAGTCTTCAAATAAGTCCAACAATGCGAGCATCAAGCACTTCAAACTCTTCTTCCTCTGCCATCATCTTCCCTGTGTGGACCAAGGTGTGCGCCTGCTGCTGCCCGTGACCACACAAGCCAGCATAGTCGGCATACGTTGCACTAATCCTCTGGCAATGGGACTTGTCGTCTTTAGGAGCAATTAGGGGTGTTCAAATCTTAGCGATTGACTGCTTCTTTCCCCAAAATGCCCCAAAGCCTGGAAAACAAATCACCTTGAAAAACAGAAGCTGTTTCACGTCGTCCATGATCATGACGCTGCTTGCCCACGCATCCTCCGGCCCACTGGCACACTTTTTGGCGGCGCCTCTCAGGACTCAAGCGCGCAGCTGAGAAGCATGGTGTCAAAGAGGCTTTGCATCAGACGCAAGGCACCTGCACTGTGCGCAATAGCAGGTGCTTTGGCCTTCTCCATTGAACTCTTGAAACACCTCCTTAACGCCCGTGATGGCGGAGGCGCGCTGCCCGACGATTCGTTGCACCGCTGCCAGTGTGTGGCACGCCTGATAGAATGCGAGAGTTGATACTGCAATTCCCTGTCACTGTAACGCTTCAGGGAGACTCTTCCAGTAGCAACCAAGGACCTGGGCCCAAATAGGAGTTACTTGATCCCAAGCAAGATTTAGGCTAATATTCGCCCGAAATTTTTATCATTCGGAGAGCTGAAGTGATCTGGCTGGAAGCTCCTATCAACCAAAGAACTTTCTGGCGATCCGACCACCCATACACAACTGTCCAGAAGTAGGGGATCACCAGAATGGCTTTTGGTCAAAAGATGTTTCCGGAGAGATATTGAGATCTCACAAGAACTGGTGAGGCATGACTTGCGCGGGGCATCTGACGGTTGGCTAGGATGCATTTAGAATTTACAGATAATATGAAGCTAGCAAGTTCATCTTCGAGATC